CTTAATGATGAGAGAGCAGACCCTGAATCCTTGGCTCAGTCAAGCTATGGAGCAGTTGGAGTCAAAGGCCCAGTGGTGAAATCGTTCTGTCAACCCTAGGATTTGATCTGGTGACCTTCTGATCACAGGCACAACACCTATTCTGTCAGCATCCTAACTGTCTTCATCTTAATCTGCAAAGCCACCCCAGTCCTGGTCCTCTAGTCCCTATAAAAAGTACATATACTATCGTTTTAGCTTCTTTTGCCGCAGTGACAGTCGGGATTTGAAAGTGCTCCATCAGCATCCATCGGCTTTCTCCTTTTGGGGACCCGTAGGGATCTCCCATAGGGATGTGGATGTCCTTGAAGGATAGCTGTTACCCACGAGGCTGGTGGAGTCCCCAAAGCATCCTCGTCACTCAAGGACACCAAAAGATGTGGAAGTTAGTGTTGGGCTAGTGTAATACTTGCCATCACTAAATGATCCTTCTGCGAGTCACAGTTACTTATGAAACCCTGACCTATAACCTGAAATATATGCAACTGAAGCCTGAAGTTTAAGGCTTGTTTATCGCTACAGTTTGATGCAATCCAGGTGTCCCACCGGAATGGAGCAGGTCTCTGTTCATATCTGTTTCCCTTTGTGGCCGTCTGTCTGGCTCTTAATGAGGTAACGCATTTATGGAACACCTCCAAGCCGAGATTTGTGTGGGCGCCCCAGGGGTGCCCGGCCTTGCGCGTCGTGCTGCTGATCGCGTCGGCCGAGTGATGCGTCGTTTAGACCGCGTGCCTGCGGCTCGCCGCACAAAGGGAACATTTCATGCAGAGAGAGAACATTAACTTCCAGTGCAGTGGTCTGCATTATAATGAAATTAATCAGCGCCGCAGCACAAACGGGACGCAGCCTGACCTGCGGGCGGACAGCACCGGGTTCTGTGGGGTCTATTGGCAGAATCAGCACTCGATGCATAATTCACATTAGCAAAGTTAAGGCTAGAAGCAGCGTAAACACTTCCTTTTTTATGAAATAAAAACGAAATATATCATATATCTCATCCTAGTCAGGGTGTCCCCCTGCCTTGTGCTCTCTGCTTCCTGGGGCAGGCTCAGGGTCACTGCCACCCTGCACTGGATAAGGAGTTATGGATGGAAGGGAGGAAGGAAGGGAGGGAGGAAAAGAAAGAAAGAAAACAACCAACTGATAGCTACCAGGCATTTCATAAAGGGTGTGGTTTTTTTGTCATCTGTTTCCGCCCACCCACTGCTTATCCAATCAGGCTTCAGTGATCTGTAGCCAATCAGAGGAAGCCCGTAGAGCTGGGCACACCCTGGGTGGGACATCATTTCCCTGCTGATTGTTGTCCTTTAATTAATTCTAAATGGTTTTAATTGAACAGAAGAGCCTCCTATCCGGCTTGCCGTCTGTGGTGACAGGCTGGATGGCTGCTCTACGCCCTTTTCAGTGCCTAAGAGACTTCATAAATCTGGGGGGGACGTTGTCGGAATGGTGTCAGGTGCTCTTGCTGGCGAGCGGGGCGGGATTAAAGTGCTTTTTATGGTTATTATTTCAATGGGGGGCTCGTTTGCACACCGGCATTCACATTTCTCCACCGGCAGCATAAAACAGTCCAGTGGTGTCCCACCGCGGAGGAACAGTGTCGCACTGAACTCCATGGCAGTGATACTTCATCACTGTTTCATTCTGCTTCAATCGGGCCCTCCTGCAAGGTTCTGAGGAGATATGGGACCATCTGGTGAGCATCACTATTTCATGTTAGCTGCTCTCTTTCTCTAGAACATATATAATTTATGCAGTACCTGAGAATGATTCTGTGATATGCAGGCGCGGACTGGATCACGTTTTAGCTTGAGATGTCATGGTATCGCTGTTGCGTGAATGCGGTTCGATATCACATGAGAAATATTCAGGTGCTAGCGCTCAAGTAATCGCGGAGTCTGTTTGTTTTTCAGCATTTGACCCTAAGGTGGCACCAGAGTTTATGTTGTCATGCCCTGGGGTCTGAAATGAATCTCTGACCTCTTTCTGGTGCCGTGTGAAAGAATGTGAACCAGGGCGTTGCATGTTTACGGTCTGGATCCACGTACGCGTCGACATTCTGCTCGCAGAGCCTGTTCTCGCCTGGGGTCATCGGCGTCCCGATTCAGATGTTTGGGGGAGGTTCAAACTCGTCATATTCTGCTCCCCAAGTCTTCGTGATGCTCTTGTCTGAGGTCAGTGAAGGTTTCAAGGCACCAGAAGCAGGTCCAGCTAAAAGGAGGCTATCTCCATCTGGGGATGCGAAGCCACGCCCAGATGACATCATCACACTGTTCACGGCAGCCAATGGCATGTGCTGCTGTTCGCCCGCTGGCACGTGTCATGTGACCATGGGCCCGAGCATTGTGTCATCTCCCAAAGCTCTGTACTATTTTTTTAGCACGTGGTTTGTCTCGTAGGGCACCAGAGGCGTAAAACTGCTTCCCAGTAGGCCGGGAGGAGATGAGGTAATGCGAAGATGTCCTCTGGGGGAGCAGCTACCTTGATTCTCCTCGCCCGCTTCCCCGAAAAAAGCCGGAGGAAGCAGGAAGGCGACAGACAAAGGGCGCATTGTGGCGCACGGTAGAGGATGCTGCGGAAGGCAGGGTTAGGAGGAGGCGGTTGCCATGGCGCCAGCTAAACGCTGGCAGCGCTGCCCCGGAGCGCTCTGCAGGTCCCTCGGCGTCTCTCCAGCATGCCGAGCTCCTTCCGTCTTTCATCTGGAGCGTGCAAGCTTCTCGGTGCGGCGCCAGGCGGCCGCGCGGGTCGCCGCAGATCTTAATCATGCATCGTGCGGCGTCTCCTGCTGCGTTCCTTTCTGTATTTATAGAACGTATTAAGTGGCGCAGGAACCGCGAGTACTTTCGTAGTTTTTGTGCCGGTTTAAATTTGCTGCTGGTTACTCAAAGGCGAGGCTGCGGCTTTGTAGTGCTACCCGACTCCAGGTTCTGACTTTAACAAGAAATCTCCTGTAGTTAAGGGAAGATTTTTGTTTTAATATTTTCCAGACGTATTCTCTCAGTGTTTGAGGTACTAAAAGTGACCTCAAAGGTTCGATTTACCTCTGTGAAGGTTGATGCCGGCCTTTTTCGGTGGGATGTTACCAGGTTCCGGAGTCTGTGGATTTCCAGCCCCGGTGTTTATGCTCTGTATTTACGTAACATATACCTAGATATCTTTGTTGGTGGGGAAAGCTACATGCTCACCTGTGTTACCTTTGATCTTTCATCTTTGAAAGAGATTTCAGTGTCTCCATATCTACGTTTCAAGCCCCCAGAGATCATAGACCTCAAGCAAACGATGTGAAAGAATCATCACTTCGTGTTTTTTTGTAGCGTGAGTTTACACATCAGTGAAAAATATCTGAGTGGGTCAGATCTACATTTTGAACTGTAGTATGATTAGATTATCTCGGAGGATCATGCTGGATATTGAAATAATGACAATATGAAACATATCATGTCTCCAGTGGGAAAAACAACCTCTTAATGTGTGAACAAGTAAAGAGTTGTAATATATAACCAAACAGGTTGAGCTATAGAACCATCCACAGTGAGATATATAACCAAATGAGCTGAGCTATAGAACCATATGCAGTGAGATATAGAACCAAGTGAGCTGAGCTGTAGAACCATATGCAGTGAGATATAGAACCAAATGAGCTGAGCTGTAGAACCATATAAGGTGTCACATGCTATTAATAAATTGTACAGTACAGCTGACAGCGATAGTTAGGAATCTGCTTGTGTACACCCTGTCTATCGGTTCTGCCTGTTTCCACGTCAACCCTGTTGCTGTGGTGCTGAATCCTGGCTTCAGCGCTTATGCACCACCACACCCCCCCCTCGGCACGGAACTGGCACGCCACTCTCCAGTGTTGCCAAACACTGGATGGTTCCCGCATCAATAAAAGATGCTCTCTCTTTCTTCAGTCGATATAATACAGCACTTTTTATTTTTAAATCAGAGACTTCTACGGCTGTCCAGACAAACGACATGCTGGCGTATGACGTGTCATTTAGAGTCACACACACGAGGGTAACACAGGTGAGCATGTAGCTTTCCCCACCAACAAAGATATCTAGGTGTATGTTACGTAAATACAGAGCATAAACACCGGGGCTGGAAATCCACAGCTGGCTGTACAGAAACACCAGAAACTCCCCTTTGTGTTGGTGCGTCTGGCCGTTTGCGGTATCTCTGTTGATTGGTTGGCTGGTTTGTGGATTGATTTGATTTGATTTGATTGATTGATTGATTGATTGATTGATTAATGTGCAGCACCATATGGGGTCTAAGGGACATGGTCTTTCAGTGCTCTGCGTACTTGAACATGGGTGCGTTGACCATAAAGAACGTTTGAGTCTTGATGGCTCGCAGAGGTCTCTGTTCGGCTTTGCTGGGGATGGATGCTGTCGCTCGCGTCTGGGCTGAAGAGCCAGCGGTCGTGTAGAGCAGATGTCTGCCGCCTGCCTTCCTGCTCCCAGGCCGTTACTTTCTGTCTCATTTCTTATTTTGACTTGAGGTTTCTTTTCTTGGCTGTGGGGCTAATGGATTAACAGCCGTTTGGTGGCTGTGGCCAGAAATGGGTTTGGCTGCAGCACCATCAGCGACTGGCTTGGTGGTTTTTGCGGTCTCTTGCCCTGGTGTAAACGAAGACAGATCATACCACTCTGACAGGGCAGCAGAATCGATGGGGGTCTCCAGGTTGGCGAACGGCCATCTGGTCTTGTGAAGATGCAGAGGCTTTTTAGCACTGGCTTGTCTGTGGTGTATCTGGCACAGGCCGGTCTGTGCTGCATCCGGCACAGGCTGAGCTGTGGTGGATTTTGCACAGGCTGATCTGTGGTATATATGGCGTATATTTTGTACAGGGTCGCACGAGATCAATAAGCTATTCAACTGAAAGAACGCAAAATATGTGTTTTGCAAATGAATTGTTGCCCATAGTAAACAAAGCATTGTTTTTTTATCTCTTACAGTTCAGCGGATGACCAGTTTCGTTGGAATAACCAAGGTATGACTTTCCCTCATTGTCCTTTTATTACTCTCTGTACCTTTTGTTCTTCGAATAGATGAGAAATAAGCAAAGCGCTGAGACCTGTGACCAGTGCCCTGTGGGTAGGCCTCTCATTGCTGACAGACACAGGCCCCTTTCTTGTGAGACCACTTCTCTGCCTGTATAAATGACTTGTTTTATGGGGGAAAAAAAAAGAGTTCCCATTGGTCACCGTGTAGCATCGTCCAAAATCATGAAGGAAAACGATTGGTGGATTGTGGATTCGGCCCCTGCATTATCACCCCCCACACCCCCACATGTTTATGGTGCGTTCTGATGCTTTACTTTTGGCTGCTTGCTAAGCAGCAGTCATCCGACCCCCAGGGTTCCTTAAAAATATGTTAAACTATCTTCGAATACAGTTTCAAATTCAGTACAGGTCATAAAATATCTGCAGATGTTATTACTTGGAAGAGCCACTCATCCCCACACGTTTCCAGTGTTTCCCTGTCGAAATTTGGCTCCCTTGTTTTTCCATGAGTTTTTGAAAGCAGCACGTGTAAAGAAGTTTGGCCTTGTGGGACTACTGCACGGGACCAGATATTCTGCCTCTCTCTCTCTCTCTCTCGCACACACACATCTGAGCATTGCCTTCCATTTTAAAATCATGCAACATCCCTGGACTCTCTGTAAGACACAATAGAACAAGCAAAAGATAGGAAAAAAATAAACAAAAAGGAGAAAGACAGAGATCTCCACTCAGGCCGGAGGATGGATGCGGAACTGGCCTCAATTTCTCTGTTTGTGTATCTGTACGTGACAATATCAATTGTATCTGTTATGTGACAATATCTAACTTGCAACCCTTTTTGCATGTCCGCCCTAGTCCTGCTCTTTTCTGTTTAAGGTCCCATCTGATAAAATGGTGCCAAGTTAATGTTTAACTTCAGTTTTAAATTTAGTGTGGGTATGGGTGCCAAAAATGTTGTTTAAGATGATGGTGATTCTCCGAATATGCTCCTTATGGCCATCTCGAGGAGAAGCCAGGCATGTGGGACAGATTAAAAGAGTCTTTAGGACTTCAGCAGATGTAACACAAAATGACAGCGTGGACATACGGTAAACTCACAGAGGTGTGTAGAACCACTTGGGATGAACCATAAACTCACAGAGGTGTGTAGAACCACTTGGGATGAACCATAAACTCACAGAGGTGTGTAGAACCACTTGGGATGAACCATAAACTCACAGAGGTGTGTAGAACCACTTGGGATGAACCATAAACTCACAGAGGTATGTAGAACCACTTGGGATGAACCATAAACTCAAAGACAACTCAATCTTGAAACATGGCATGTTTCCATGGAACAAAAATACTTAATATGTGATCAGGTGAAGAGTTGAGATATATAACTAGATGAGTTGAGCTAGAGAACCATACGAGGTGAGATATATAACTAATACAATTTTCTTTTGTAACAATTTGGGTGATATACCTAGCTATGGTCCGACAGCATAGACACTCATGAGATTTGAAGCAGACTTTGCCATATACGGGTGGGTGTGGGTTCAGACGTGCTTACTTCCGGCACAGCCATGCTGCTTTGCTCCGAACCTCTTGTGTAAGTGACAGGGTGTGCTGTCAGTGGCGGACTGTGGGTTCCCTGCTGGCTCTTGGTCCATCTCCAGCCAGCCCCTCACTCTCCGCTCCCCCTGCTGTGTTTACAGACAGACAGAAGGACATCGAGGAGGAACTGACCACAGGCCTGGAACTGGTGGACTCCTGTATCCGGTCTCTTCAGGAATCTGGGATCCTGGACCCTCAGGAGTTCTCGACAGGCGACAGTAAGCACTCGCACGGCCGACTGATGTGGATTGCAAAGTGAGGCTCCAGCTTTTCCTGTAATACTGTTTAACACAAGCTGTTTCCATAGGTTTCAGTAGGTGTAACATCCGCTAAATTCTTCAGCCATTTTCAGTCATTGGCTTTATTTTCATTAATTGAACAACATAAAATCAAAACAAAATGTTTACCTTGCGTTAGCTGATGACACAGTGGTGCAGTGGTTAGCACTGTTGCCTCACATCTCTGGGATCTCCTCCCTGGCTCTGCGTCTGTGGAATTTGCCTGTTCTCTCCATGTCATTGTGAGGCTTCCCCTGGTTTCCCCTGTGGTGCCAGGGCCCTGCCTTGGGTTGAGACACCATCCTGGGTTATTCCCAAGCCTTGCACCTTTAGGTTCTAGACCCTCATGACCCTGCATAAGACAGGCACATATAGAAGATGGATGGATACGTTACATTTATTTATTTACAGACACTTTTGTCTAAAGGGACATACAAGCGAGGGAGATCATACGTTTCAAACATACAACTGTCAAGGAGGCAACTAGGCATAGGTACAGCTACGCTGAGCTCTCAAAGGATGGCCAGTATCAAGTGTAAGTTAACATCAGAGCAAGAGCTATGCGATACAAAAACATTCCAACAAGAGAGCCATTCACATCAAAGACACCATGAGTTCCTAAGAGGCAAATGTCAAGACGAGACAAGAGACCATAACCAAGGGATAGTGAATGAAGACAGAGCTGGTCAGTGGTCAGATGAGTTCATTGAGGTGTTACCTGAAAAACGCAGTCTTGACGCTTATCTCGTTGAGAGGTTCTCTGATGTCTGGATGTGGATGGGTAGCTCGTTCGTCATCGATCACATACGGAAAACATCAAAAGTTTGACTTATTTTCGCCTTGAGGAGAGGATGTTTGACTACCAGACATGCTCTCGCATTTTGAATCATCTGTAGTCGTTTCACAGCCGGGGCTGGTAGCTCTGTCAGTAACGAGTCGGCATAGTCTAGTTGAGAGATAGTAAGTGCCTGGACCAGGATCTGAGCTGCAGATTCCGACAAATGAGGTCTGATCTTCTTGGCATTATAGTGAGTAAATCTACAGAACTGACAGATAGCTGCAATGTGCTCAGCAAAGGACAGCTGGTCATCTATTATTACACATAGGCTTCTGGCTGACTTTGCCAGAGACAGTGTTGATGATCTAAGCTGTACATTGACGCCATAGGAAATGGTGCGATTGGCCAGGAAGATAAGAAAAGTTCAGCTGCAGGTGAGAATCCCTCATTCAGGCTGCAGCTTGTGAGGCATGGTGTCCTCGATAGGGATGGTCAGGTAAAGCTGGATGTCATCAGCATAGCGGTAGGAGAAGCCAGTGACTGGATGGGCAAACTGAAAGTGCGGGAAGAAGAGGAGGGGACCAAGCGCTGGACCTTGTGGCACACCAGTTACCTGATGTGACCTGGTCACCTCTGAACCCCGGTGATATTCCTGATTTACCGGAGGTAGGAGTTGAGAGATGGTGGACAGGAGGATCTGGTAGTTCACACTATCAACAGCCGCAAAAAGGTCTAGAAGAATCAGAACAGATGTCAGACACCTGATTGAGAGCAGCATGCTCAAAAGTTTCAGACAGAAGCCTGTAGCCAGGATGACATTTTAGGTTGAACTGAATGTAATTAATTTACTGATAGCATTATCTGAAGCGGGTTGCAGGTGTATGCAGTGACTTCCAGTATGCTGCCTTTACATACAGTGCATTCTGGTTTATACGCCACAGCGTAATCCACCAATCAGACTTTCCATCAAGCTGCTGCCTGCCTAATAGAACAGCTTCCCTGTGAAATATAAAAGAAATGCTTAAAAGTTTAAATTCTGTAGCTATTTAATATTACATTTCATCAGGGTCGCTGAGGGGGGGGCACAAGGCTGGGTTAGACCCTAGAAGGGATGTAATTAAAATGGAAACTGAAATGAACTGATGTGCAGAAAGTACAGCAATAATCATTTTAAAATTTTCCACATGATGCTAAGATACACATTGGATGCTCCTCACCTCACAAATGCTGTAATTGAAGCACAGGGTGTTACTTTCTGCTCTCTGCACATTCCCGATGCCCAAGCTAAAAAGCCATAATTTCACCTGTATGGTGAAATTATCCCCCCCATTTTCCCCCTCTTCCCCCACCAGAAGTTGCACAAAAGTGGCACGCCGGTCAGGCCCTGTGGAGGCAAAGCAGCCGGCGGCGGCGGTGCGCGGGGAGCGTTTTGGCGCTGCGAGAGCGGAGCGCGTCGCTTTCGGGAAGCAAGCAGCCTGCGAATAATTAAGCGAGCGGTAATCAAACTGGCATTCAGCCGGCTGAAAGGGTCGGTGTGACTCTCCTGAAGGCGGCAGGAAATGGCGAAGAGTCCCGATGTGTGTGAGGCGGCTTTCTTTGGAGACACCGGCGGCGCTTAACCCCCGAGTGTAACCGCGCTTAACCCCCGAGTATAACAGCGCTTAACCCCCGAGTGTAACCGCACTTAACCCCCGAGTATAACAGCGCTTAACCCCAGAGTGTAACCACGCTTAACCCCCGAGTATAACAGCGCTTAACCCCCGAGTATAACAGCGCTTAACCCCAGAGTGTAACCACGCTTAACCCCCGAGTATAACCCCCGAGTGTAACCACGCTTAATGACCGTACTTATGAATAAAGCCTATTATATAAATATTTGAGTTAAATTCCATGGTTCATAATAACAAATTCATGCACTGTTTTGTGACACTTGTGACATTGCACGGCTCCAGCTGTGTGTTGCCTTCATGTACAGTAGAGAAACGTATGTAGTTACTTTCATTATTATTGTATGAGTATTATTAAGTACCATATGTGGTTACTTTTATTATTATTGTATGAGTATTATTGAGTACCGTATTACTATTTTTCCGACTTAGGGAAGGCAGCTCCTCCGTAACCTCGGGACTGCCCGTATGCCGAAGGTGGAGTGTCTGAATGTAATATTCCAGGTGGCACAGGACACAAGGCGGGGTTGCCTGGAAGGGGTGTCAGTCCACGGCGGGGCACACTCACACTATGGGCAATTTCGAGACACCAATTCTCCCACCGGTGTATGTCTCGGACTGTGGGAGGAAACCCCACAGTGCTGGACAATGCATTACCGCCGGCATTCGCTTGGCGACCTGCGGGGCGGCTCATTTATCAGGATGTGCCCGCTGAGCTTCTGTCGTCCATGTTAGCGCTGCAGTACCCAGGAGTATCTCTGCATGTGCGAAATGTGCCTTTTCTCTTTAATTATGAGAGCGTGTTACCTGTACTGTTTCAAAGTGCAAACTGTATATATTCCTCAGCCCATCATTACTGGCAAATATGATGGGACAGTGAGTCATGGCACAATTAAAAGCCGCTTTTGGCAGGAGCGTTAAGCGAAACTGCGTGTTTAAATTCACATCATTTATTTTTGCAAGCTGGTGGGGAACCGCTTAAAAGTCAGACTGGTGCGGGGCTGTCTGTACATCAAAGTGGTGTTTCTGATACCCAAGAGCTTGTGGGTTTGCGTCGTGGGGGCTATGACCCTTTGTTGGAGGCTGACCGCTGTGCATCCTGGGATTGGCTACTGGCTCACCCTGTTCTGGGTAACTGGTGTCACGACATAGAGGGACGTGGGGTGAAGGACTTAACTGAAGAATTCAGCTGAATTCCAGAATTTACCTGGAATTTGCCGAATTTGCATAGCTGGTGTGCTGGAATGTTACCTGAATGAGAAAATGGTGGAAGTTGTGTCTCACCCCGATTCAACTTTTGTTGAATCATCCTCCCTGGATTTGCTGGACCAATTTTTGCATCGTGCATAAGAGCCACGCTGATAATGCCTTTCCCCCTTAACGTTAAAACCAGCTCTGCATTTCCCAGACGACGTCGCGGCTGTAAACAAACACTGCAGGTGTGTTGTGCTCGCGTGGCCCCTCGCAGCGGCGCACAATGGCTGCTGTTTTGGTTACATTTGTCTTATTTAGAGAGACGGAATATGTGCTAACATTGTAGCCAACTGACTGGTTAGCTGGACGTGCTGCTGCTGCACCTCCAAAATAAGGACCGTGTTTGTTTAATATATAATACAGTAACTGAGGGGCCCCGAGCCTCAGGGGCCCTAAGCCTGAGGGGCCCCATATAAATGTGTGGTTAGAGTGGGGGTAAACACTGCCGCTGCCAGAAACCTCACTATAGGAAGGTGGTGTCTCCTGTCTCCAGGGGCGATGTCCCACCTACCTGTCAGTCAGTGATGGATGAGTGCATCCTCACCAGCGGGAAGCCGGATCCTCCTGGATTCCCGCAGCGCATTTCTGGTGTCTCAGCCACACCGCTCACCTCCGATCTCCGGTCTCTCTCCCCTTCCTTCGCAGGGCCAAGCCTCCTGTCCCAGAGTTCCTTGCAGCTGAACGCCAGTGCGGAGGGCTCCTTCCCATACTCCTCGGGGTACCACAGCAGCCAGACGCTGGCCCTGAGCGACACGGCGCCCCCCCAGCTCCCCACGCGCAGCGGGCAGGTCGGGGGGGCCGTGCACAGCTACAACCAGGTAGGCACGCCCTCTCTACCCCCCCCTCCTGTCTGGGCTTATCTGTCTTATTCCCGTCTCATTGATGTATCACAAAGACCTTGGGGAGCGTCACGCCAGCCCAAGGTTCACTGCATCGTCTTAATGGAAGATGTTAGCTATCCAGTCTAGCTTGGTTAATTGACATCTTATGTAGTGTGTTTTGCATTTCATTTGCCGTGACCCGTTCATCTAATTAAAAAAAATGACATATTTGAGAAACTTTTTAGGAAAAGTAGCCAAAAATTTGAGGGATGCGTGGACGTGTTTTCCAGGCGAGTTTCCCGCCGCCGCCGTCTGCCTCGCTGAACGGCAGCCCTCTGGGATTGCCAGCGCTGTCTAATCTCTTCTCTCTTTTTAGTCCTTTTCTCTTGGACAAGCCCCAGAAAAACTGACAGCTCTTTTTTCGGCTGCATTTTGTACCTCCTCTGGGAGCTCTCAGAGTGCCCTCAATGGCCAGCAAAAGCGAAGAGGGTGGAGGCACCTGCGCCCCCCCCCAGGGGTAGTATTCTCATGAAGCACATATATGAATTAGACAAAGCAGGAAAGGTCCTCCGCTGACAGGGGGCAGCGTTACCGTGTCAGTATCCAGTGCAGCTCCTAACACGTGAATGAGTGCTTGACATTCTTACGAGGTGAGTTTCACTTGCACGCAACCTGAAACAAAAATATTCAATTCAGAAGCTCAAGTGAAATGGAAGTTTCTGGAAGCTGGTGTAAACTGAGGTACCCACAGTGAGAGAGGCCTGGGGGGGGGGGGTATCTTGGAGGCACGGCCCTTTGCCACATTGTATTTTTTTTGAAGGCCATTGTCAGCAAAATTGACTTCGGATATCAGCAAAAGTAGCCTTAGAGGATTCTATCCCCTGAAGGGCTCTGCCTGTATTTTTCTCGGGTAATCAGGGAACACCGTTTTTCCCTTCAGGGTGCGGTGATTGAAGGACTAGTATGAATCTGTCTGTGCTTTGCCCCCCCCCCCCAAGGCCCTGAGCTCCTGATTTTGGCTATGTGCATTCCATGCCGTACTGGACTGGGTGCCACTAGGATGGTGGTCTTGGGCTGGGCATGGTGTTGTTACGGTAACACCAGAGCTGCCGTTATCTACTCAAGAGATGCTTTTATCCAAAGCAATGTACATTTTTCAGAAGACAGGGTCAACCAGTCCCTGAAGCAATTAGGGGGCCTTTCTCAGGGGGCCCAACAGTGATATCACTTTGCTGAACCTGGGATTTGAACCAGCAACCTTCTGATCACAGGCACAGTGTTCTAACCCACTGAGCCGCACAGCATCCCCCATGTGTCCGTGGCACTGTCCTGTTATTCCTCCTGAGAGCACTGGGTTGGGGTGATGTCATGAAGACGGCTCTCGTCTGCTGCCCCCTGCAGGTGACGTCCAGTCGCGCAGCCCACCTGGCAGGGGAGGCCTCGCAGTCGCAGTCACAGTCGCAGGACTCCTTCGCGCCGAGCCACGGCAGCGCCTTCCACCTGCCGGACTTGCCGCCCGCACTGCCAACACCCATTTATTACTCCTGCGCCACCCTGCCGGCGCAGCGCGTGAGCTCACCGCTGTCGGTGCAGGCGGCCGGCTCCCCTACGCGGCTGCAGCGGCTAGCGTCAATCTCCGATGCCCCAGGCTACGCCACCCTGCAGCGCATCTCCTCGCCCAAGCCGTCACCCAGCCGGCTCGCCAAATCCTACAGTGCCAGCTCCCCGGTGAACGCGGCGGCGTCCTCGTCGTCCGGGCACGCTGGCGTCTCGCCACCTCACGCCTCCAGCTCCTCGCCCCTGCACCAGCTGAGCTCCGTCATTGGCAGCTACGCCACGCTGTCCCCCACCAAGCGCCTGGTGCATTCTTCGGACCAGTACAAGATTTCCCACGAGCTGTACGCCAATGCCACCCTCCAGCGACCCGGCAGCCTCGCGGGTGAGTGGGTCCCAGCTGCCTTTCCTCTCTGCCGATGTGATTCTTAGGGCGGTGCCCCCCAATCGTAGATCACGCTAGACTGGGTCTCACAGACTACAGCAGTGTTTCCAAACCTGGTCCTCAGGGACCCACAGTCGGTCCATGTTTTCGCTCCCTCCCAGCTCCCTGCCAGACAGCCCACATTTTTGCTCCCCCCTCAACTCTTAGCAAAAAGGTGGATTGTCTGTAGGTCCCCAAGGACCGGATTAGGAAACACTGGACTACAATCCTGCAGGTCTGAAGCAGGTGCCCTTTAATTAAGTGCTCGATTAAAACACCCGCTAAGAGCAGATACTATGCAGTGTGCAAGTACAAGATGTTCACTGGTCTGTCTCTCTGTTCTCTCTCTTTAGACCTCAGAGAATTAGAAATTCTTCATCCCAAAGGAAAGTGCAAGGCGAAGCATTTTCAGCTGTCATATTTCCTGTGTTTGGCTGTTTCTCCCTTTCTGACAAGATATTTTTTTTAACTTGTGATGAATAATTATAACATATAATGGTGGCAGCTCTCTGCATGATGGTTTTGAAGAGTCTCAGTACATCAGGGCATGTTTTTGAGTCTTTATTCGATCGATAACAGTGTCATGGGTGAATGATTTCTTTATTACAGCATCGAGTCTGAGCCCTTACAAAGACATCTCAGGGTTGACTCTCTATAAATCCCCTTGCCTTTCACCCTCTGCACAAACTGTCTTCCCAACAATCAATTTCTGAAGCATCTCGGATGTCAAAATGAGGACTGGCTGTTGGGCCTGAGACAGCGAACTACGGCTCAAGCTTTTTGGGCATTATGCTCTGTGGGAAACGGCTAGCGGTCATGGTGGCATGATGAGCGCCTTTCTCGCCATTTGGCTGGGCACCCCCCTCGCCGTTTCTCACCCCCCCCGTAAAGTGCAGGAAATGGCTGTTTGGCGGATGCTCGTCGCTACATCGATTTCCCGGTTTATTGCTCGTTATTCCGGACTGAGGAACAGCAGGGGTGGGCCATGTGTTCACAAATGCTCCCTGTAGCCGTTTGCCGGCTGCGCCTTGTGAAAACGTGCCGCCTAATTGCTGTCGTGCATCTGCCCTGCGTGCAGTGTGCGTGCGCTCCAGTGCTTTTGCACTTACGCAGTGGATGTCGCTGGTTCTGAGATTGGGAGGTCTGCCCTGGCAAGCCAGCAAATAAGCATCATTAAGCCCCATTAAGTCACAGGTGCTGTCACCCAAATCCCAGTGCACTGGCCATTCCCTGGTTCGTATCCCCTTGGAATTCACTGCTGTGTTTCATTGAGATTAGTCACCTCCTCATGTAGATCTATGTGTTTATATCATGTTTGATTTTTCCGGTGGCCTGGAAAATAGGGACCTTCTATTGTGCCACTGAGACTCAGTACCTTTGCTGTGGATTAGCCATCTGGTTCTGCCGTGTCAGGTGGTCGATGCCGTCTTCGGCGCGGCACATGAACACACTAAGCATATAAAGGGCCCTCGCTTATCCTAACGGCGTCTCTGGTGGGCTCCGAAGCCCTTCGGTGCGGCCGGGTTCACGCAGGCCATGGAGCCAGGAGCAGCGATCGGCCTCCATTGTAGGGAAGGTGAAGACACGGTCTGCCACGGGCTACAGCTGGCCATCGCCTTCTCACTGCAGGGCCAAGTCAGGCTGTAGTCCGCTTTCTGGAGCGTTCTGAACGTGACACCCGGGCTTTAAAGTCATGAGCGGCAAATTCAGAAGATTCACAAGCATGGAATTGAAGCTTTATAGTTCATGGTAAATTTATAGAAATCCACAAATGACACAATTCTGGTCTCGCGCTCTTCATAGTAAGATATTTTAGCATAAGTTTTTTTTTGTCCTAGTGAGGAAATGTGAAGTACAAATGCGAGTTTTATATATTCAGGGTCTGTATGTGTGAGTATACCAGCATGCTAGAGTGTCTGTCCGCTAAGATTCTCATGATGGGATGGCTTCATTTCGGGCAGTGGGTCAGCCTCACTGCTTTCGTGCCTCGATGGGGATTCTCTGGCAGATGTACAGCTTACCTCGCCGTACAATCGATTGTTTGAGTCCCACTCCTCAGGTCCTGCGGACAAGTTTGGCCCAGACGCCAGAAGCCCTGTCACCTCTTTCCAAAGCCTTTAAACTCGCTGGCTGCTGGACGAGGTTTTCAGACACTGGCAGCGGTGCTGGTGAAGCAGCCTTTTTGCAGGCAGAACGTTCCATTTGATTTACTCTCCTCCTCTGATTCGCAGTGAAATTTGCACCTCGCCCCCAGTGTCGTCTACCAATAAGAGTCAGCTGAAAGGCATTCCCCCACTGCTTCCCCACTTTGGATCCTGGGCCTGAGGCCTTCACTTGATTGGTCAACTGACCCAGGAACGAGTGGTTTCTATTGGGTTTGGAAATGTCTGCCTTATCACCGAGGACCTACTGTACAACGGAGGAATTAGGTTAGGGACCAGCGCTACTCATCAGGCTGGTGCTGATAAGGTGATTAAGGGGAAGAGAAACTGAAAGTCCCGGTCCTTATTGTCTGTCCTCTCATGGAATTAGATTCTACTGGGAATAACAGGATGAGAACGCTGATGAGATTCCCACAGAATGAGACCGGCCACACCCTGCAATCGGTGTAGGTCCAGGGCTCTGCAGTGCAGCTCAAACTCGTCTACGCCGTAGTCTGCAGCATCATGCATTCGTACATGTGGACGACTCTAAGTGACTCTGAGTGACTCGTGATCTGTGGTTCAGTGGGACTCTGACGTCTGCCGTGTCCTTATCTGCTAGTCGGTCCCACGAAGGTGCGACCCAGGATGTTCCCCTGCAAGCAGACAGCATCGCTGTCTCCGCCAAGACAATAACTGCCTGCGTTTTATAGAGTGCTCTTTTTTATCTACGTATCTGTGTTCAGAGCTGGGGCGAATGTTAATGTTAACATCGTCGTATTAGTGAATGTCCAGGGCATTTGTATCGAATGTGCCGGTGATATATTTACCTCACCACCAGTTGCCGTATTCTTGGCAGGATCCAGGGGGTCCTACAGCAGCCAGCACAGCCATCTGGGGTCTGAGGTTCGACCCCTGCAGTCTCCAGAGCACCACATCGACCCGATCTATGAGGACAGAGTCTATCAGAAGCCCCCGATCCGGAGTCTGAGTCAAAGCCAGGGAGACCCTCTGCAGCC